ATTGCAATGTCGAAGGATTTTGGTCGATGCTGTAAGTTTTGTGCTGAAGCTGCTAAATCACCACGCAAAACCGACCTGGAATCGTGGTCCATTCCATCAAAGCCATATAGATTATGCTGGTCCGATTGAAACTTTCCACTACTTTCTGATGATCGACGTTTTTTTCAAAATCACCAGAAATCTTCCGCACACAAACTATACTACCACATCGGCGACATTGGAGATGCTGCAGGAAACCTTTGCGAGGTTTGGTAATCCCAAAACCCAAAGATGAAAATGGAATCACGCCCCTAACACTCGCTCCATACCATCCTCAGTCCAACGGACAGGCTGAGCGTTTTGTAGACACACTTAATCGAGGACTAAAGAAGTTACGTGAAGGGGGAAATACGGCAACTTTCCAACATCTTCAAACATTTCTTTCCATATACCGGTCGACGCCCAACCAAGGTGCACCTGATGCCAAATCACCTGCGGAGCTGTTCCTATCACTACAACCCTAGATTTTCTCAAACCTTGTAAATCAACGACACCAGTTGCAAATAGCAAGCAATTCAACCGTCGCCAAGAGGGAATTTTCCGCTGATGATTTGGTGTATGCAGAGACTGGCTTCCTGTTAAGGTGATCGAGAGAAAAGGTTACGTCCTTCTGGAGAACGGTCGCCTTATCCGCTCTAACACTAACCAACTAAGGCAACGTTATCTGGAAGACGCTAAAGAAGGTACTGCGCCAAGTGATCATCTACCATGAACCGTGCTGCTTGAAGAGTTCAACAAGCAGCCTGATGATATAACCGATCCTGGAGAAGTACAACAACTGGATGAAGTTCTGGCTCGTGACGAACCGTTGACTGAAGAAGAGGTGATGTTCAAGATGAGGATGTTGTTGAAGACATTGTGCCAGTACCTACCGATCATCCCATTCGGAACCGAAGGCTTCCATCACCTTACGGCCTTTTCTGAGGGGAGGATGTTCCATAGTAACCACATGAAATGATCATCTTAGAAGCCTATGAATAATCAAGCTGTTTGACACAACTATTTTCTACATTGATTAATGTTTTGACCTTCGAAGTGTACAGACCTAGTTAACCAACAACCAGTATTTTATTAGAGCCTGTAACACTCAGAATTCACTCCTCAATGTTCCTCATGTTATTAATAATTCTTGCAGTGTATTGCCTAGGAATTCCTCAAAAATTACTCTTGAAAAAAAATCACTACGAACTGAACATTGCATTAGGTCATAAATATCATTGATCGATTCCCTTTATCGACTTTCTCTTTCGTTATTAACTTGGGTATAGAACCGTTACTTGTCATGGTTGTCGTAGCAGAAGATAGATAATAGCTTCTTTCATCGATCTGTGAGCTGAAAATAACGGAGAATGTCTTAACATGGCCATGAGGATGCAAAGAGAAAGTTTACGAAGAGAATCTGCCTATGTTACTTAAGACCCAATGCAATGTTCAGCTTGACTTGAAGTTCTCTTCCTCAGTCACTTTGTATTCTCCTGAAATTTCTTTGGAATTACCATAGGAATTATTTTATGGATCTGCTCATAATTCTCATTATTTTTTTTTTAATTATCCTCGTAATTTCATTGGAACAATCTTTTGAATTCTCTAAAAATTTCCCTGGAATATCCTTGGAATACAGCTCGGAATTCCTTTGAAATTGTCCTCAAAATATTTTTGGAATTATCCACCGAATTCGGAATTCAATCCTCGTGAAATTTTTCTTGGAATTTCCATAAAATTTTCCTTTTGGAACACTCCTAAGAAATCCATTGAAATTATTTTCAGAATTTTCGATGAATTCACCTGGAGTTTTAGGTTCTCTTGGAATCATTCTCAGATTTTATTATATTGTCAGACGCAAGCAGATTTTAGAACATTCAAGAATTGCTTGGACTTCTGCTTGGAAAACGGTAGGCCAGTAGCCCATAGATATTGAGATATTTATTTCTGGACCTGTTACCCCTGCTCCTACACTATTGTCCAGTCTAGAGCTGTCTGCATAAAAGACAATTGATCCTGGAAGAATGATTGGTCCCCCATTTTCCCGCAAATCGCGATCCGGATCTGCTACATTTTAAAGACGATCGAAGTGATATTCTTTCTTCATCCAATCTTCCCAAGAGAATCAATATTGAACATTTTTAGGATGCTCATATGTCCTCTAAGATCACCTTCAAGGAAGTGCTGTGACCGTCGGATCCATAATGTACTCCTTTCGGCTTCAAATTGAATAAATTGAAGCAACGGAAGCAGATAAAGCAGAGCATCTATGTTGCTGATTGCACCAGTTATTGAGAGAGTAGCTAGTCCTTGCAGACTCCCCAGCTTCTTCTGAGCTGATTTTTCATTGGTTTTAGGCCACCAAACCAATGATGCATAGGTTATTCTGGATCTTACAATCGTCAAATAAATCCAGTGGATCATTTTAGGTTTAAGTCCCCATTTCCTACCAAAAGTTTTTTTTTTACTTATCCAAACAGCATTTGTTGCCTTACTGATGACTTGTTCTAGATTCCCTTGGAATGAGTTCCTTAAAAATTCAAATCAAATTCCATAAGCCTTCAAGGGGTAATCAACTCTGCACACAGTGCCGAAACATTGTTCGGCACGATAGAGCACACTTTGACAAGTAGGACAAAAACAATATAATATAAAACGGCATCACTGTTGAGTGTTGACGTTTAGCCAATCGTTGCCTACCCGGTTTCGAGGATCGTTCGAAAAAAATCTATAAGTATTCTCTGAACCGTGACCCGTTGAGAGTGTGTTGTCAATACGGCAGTCAAGACGGCTGAAACGGGTTACCTCCAGCGACAATTTGTCAAAAGTCTGGAAGATCTGGTCATTCAATACGACGGTACAGTTCGGAATGCGATCGGCGAAGTCGTTGAGTCTTCCAATGGCGCAGACTGGTTGGATCCCATAATCATGAAAAACAAAACCAATGCACGTTCGCAGTACATATCAACGCAACTCAAAATTAAGCCGGCTGCGGAGGAATTTTTGAAGAAGTCTGGCTGGGTAATGCTATGAAAATAAGAAGCTGCCCAAACTGGGGCTTACCGACCGACACGTTTTCGATTGAGGATGGAATCATAGAGAAAATGCCCACCAGTTGCCTTTGATGATTAATTTGGAAGGCCACGTAAACAATCTCGGCCCTTATTACGAGTATCGCTTCACGGTGAAAACGTTTCTCTCGGTTATTCTTGCCAGTCTCAGTTGGTATGGACTTCAATGGGTTAACCACAGGAATTTATATGGATGTCCATATAATTTTGAAAGAAGTTCCAGTACTGTCATGGGATGTCAATACGTATTAGCTCCACATATTCCATCAGACCTGGACTGCTGTACGATTGCCTAAGCGCAATAGCATAAGATTTATTGGAACGGATCAAATCCAATTACATTCTATTCTATTCCACGAGTCCGATATCAAGCACATCACCGTCACCAGATCGGGTTATTTTGCAGATGCATCGCTGTCACTATCCTTCTGTAGAACGAGCTCGTATCAAGGGTCCTCAGTGCGATGGGCTGCCTACCGATCGGTCAACTGTAAGGCCTTGGTCATTACTGAAAAAAATGTTGAGGCTTTATTGAAAACTGGCTCGAGGATGTTGCTCCTAGAATCGGGAAGAATTTGATATGCAGCAGGTAACAATTTGATCCGTCATTGATCAAGCTACGCCTTCGTTTCTGTACATCTGCAAGGAATCATCCGGAATCTGGTGGACGGGTTCAATTTTCTATACAGTGTTTTATGGCTTTTACTTCCTCTTCCACTTCCCGAAGGGAAGCTGATTGCTTGACATGATCCATCAGAAAAATTGAGCATGTAAACACAATCACAAAAGTCGTAGCTTTCGGGGTTGCCAAACTCATGGATGATTGACACCTTGATTGATTGACCCTTGGTTGACATGTTCGGCACAGCGCTTAGCACAGCTTTCGGCACAGCTCAATCACTCGGTACCGATTTAGGTGTGCAGAGTTGAATACCCCTTGATCAGCCTTGCACATTGTTTCTTGGTTGATTTTTGTTTTCAAATTTGTGATGTTGGTAAATGTTTATCTTCGTTCCAGATTCCTGAAAATGTCTCCAAGTATAATTATTTTAAAGACCAGCATTTCAAAAAATATTGTTCAAGTATCAAATTTGTGGAAAATAACCATGTTCCAGAACATAAAACAGACAAAAATATGCAAGCCTCTTAATTTTTAAATTTAGTTGTTACTGAAGATAAATTGGGTAAAGATCTATTAAGTTCTATGACTGAAATAAAATAACGAGGAAAATAAAACGTTTGCATTATAAAATGGATTCATTTCTTAAAAAAATCTCAGAGAATTTGAAAATTCTCTGACTAATAATGATAAAATTCCCTGAAAATAACAGTTTTTTTTCCAGGAAAAATAAACTTCCTTGAGCATTCAGGTTTTACAGATAGTAGACACCATGTTATGTTCGAACACAAATGTATACATGTCAAATAAATAATTTAAAAAATAACCCTTATAAATCATTGCAGGAAAATCGAGTGAGCTTTCACTCGGTATATTAGTATACTCCTAGGCTGATTAAAATATTCGTCGACTTTCCTCATATTCGAGAAGCTTTCCTGGAAACCTTGCAAAATTCTACGCACTTTGTGAGCAAATCCACGTTTTGCAAAATTGAGTCCAAGTCAACTCAATTTTAAGTTGATCTCATCGTCCGTGTCTTGAATTGATGAGACATCCTGCGTGCAACATAAAACAATGTAGCACTCTGCAAGCAATGTGATACACATGTTGCCTACCGCAAGGAACATACCACACTGAACTAAACGAACTGGTTGCACCCGTCGTAATAGAAAATTTAAAAAAGTAAAGCATTTAGAAAAAAAAATTAATGCCGATAAATGAAGCAAGCTAAGCACTGACTGATGATTGAAAAATGTTGAAAATGATTTGAAGATGGACAAAATACTAACATGAATCGCCGGGTGGCCTGTAACTGCGACATTAGCATGAAGGGTTTCACATTCACAAGCAACGAATGCTTTGCTCTAAAGAAAGCATCATGGGAGAAAACCATTAGCAACAACAATCATCGAAAAAAAAAATGGAATTTAAAAAAAAGGAAACGTACAACACGCAAACTACAGCAAAAATCGATGGAGACGATACGCGACTGTTTTCCTTGATCTTGATCCGAAATGAGTGGAATATTATTTTGTTATTCTGTTAATCAATACACATCTTTCCGATCTGATTCAGATAATCTTTCTGGGAAAAATTACCAGTGCAAGGCAAATTAAACACTAAAAACTAAACCTTAAAGCTAGGTTAGGTAAGGTGATTCAAGCTGAAGTTCTAGCAACTTGAAAAAAAATGTACATTTTCAGCTTGAATCACCTTCTCGTATTCGACTGTCGTTGGCTCCTAACACATTAGAACCGATCTAGTTAGAAAAATTGTTAGCAATAGTAACAGGAAAGGAAACATTCATTCTCCTTTTGTTAGGAATTAGAACCAACAGAAGATAGGGAAAGAAACAGTCAGCATTCCATATTAAGGTTAGTTTTTTTTTTCGAGCCTAACAGTAAGCTATTGGTTTTCTAACAGAACTCGTTAGTTAAAAAAAGAAGTCAAAACAACATACCTTTCAATGGAGCTGATGTTACCGAACCGTTCGACCGTTTCTTTGTCGGTTTCCTTTTTGGTACGCATCTCTTCCAGTAGGACTTCTCCATGCCGGCCAGCGGCCATAATGTCCTCCTAAAAATATGACTTCCATTAGTTTTCCCCCTCCCAAAACAAACAAACCAATCAACAAACCTTCAACTTCTCATACTGATCACCCTGCTCGCCGATTAGCTTCTCCGTAGCTTCCACCGAGTTCGGGAACTCCATCTCGTGAATCATCTTCATGAATGCATCCAAATTGCACGAGATCATATTGGTCAGCCCGGAAAACTTTTCCAACGAAATCCGCTGCTGGATCCAATCGTGATGGGAATAGACTAGCTCTCCACCCAACTCGCCGGACAGCTGGGTTCGCGAGATGTACTCCTGCAGGTCTTCCAGCGTAGCGCAAACCACCACCCGGAAGCGAAACTCGTCTTTGAAGAACTTGTTGCTCACCTCGGAGATGGCCTTCTGCAGGAAACCCGAAGGCCTCAGCACGTACACGAAGTGTACCATGGCGGGAAAGTAGATGGAGATTTTCAGCAGGACGGCCTTCACCGCGGCCCAGCGGTCTTTCCGCCGGTCGATCAGTAGATTGAAGCCGAGATCCGCCTCCGATAGGGACGGCACCGAGGTGAGGTACAGGATCAGTTTTTGGTAGTCTAGATCGGACAGGTTGTGAAAGTTGTTGTAGTCCGGGAAGGTGATCAGCGGACAACCGTCTTTGGAGCGGCCACCTGGAGGGAAAAAAATAAATGTTTCTAAGCTATTTGGTATCTGGGATTTTTTGACAGTTTTAACATTCGTATTGAGGTCGCCAATAATTGTGCAAAATTTGAACGAATGTGGTCGATTTGCGAAAGAATTTGAAACTTTGTATGGGAAAATGTAAGGGAAAAGGAATGATCCTATTCATTTGCTTACCAAAAATCCGAATATTGCTCAAATTTCACAAAATCTCGAACTTGGATTGAGAAAACTATACAAAACGACTTTGTCGAAGACTGCAAATTGATGTGATATTTGCATAAAAAGTTGTTAATCTTTAACTTTAGACCAAGTGTTCCACACGAGGGAGAAGACGGCTTTCATTTAAGTACCTCTGGGAACCGATTTTATTTGCAACGAAAACAGAGGCATATAGTTTTAGAATCTAACCATTCAAATGTCAGTTCGATAACGACAATGGATGCAGTACTTAAATTACGAAAAAGATCTCGTTTTCTACCAGTTCTTTGAAGTTTTGGCTACTTTCTGAAATCACTATGGCGATGGCTTTCTGCAGGACACTTTTCGCATTGCAATGGTAATGAAATTGACCAGGAAGCTTGCCCCCGTAGTACCAACAATCGATTCGAAACTAACGATTTTAAATTGGCTCACTACTTGACTAGCCTATTGGTCCCAAGCAAATCGATTACAAAACCCATCCTAGTATAAATTCCAGAACTACACTATGTTTGTTTTGATTCGCTTAGAAAGTTTTATAGATAAAATAAGGGGTTCGTAAATTTTCCTATGTTTCGAGGGGTGCATCGATTAGCTTAGGACCGAAGATAGTACCAGAGCTGAGCCAAAAAGTTGAGCTCGTTTCTTCGGGACCTTCTGGTCTTAGAGTTACCTCTATGGTAGTACTGGGCATCCAGATGCTTAGATCAGGCGAATAGATATTCCATTCCGGCTACCACCTTCGGTGGAGAAATGTACTTGAGCATGAGTCATGTGAGGGTCTCTGTTACTATAGCAGGAAAACACAAACGAACAAGACTATACCCACATATGCCGCCCTAGCTTCATTTATTTTGTATCTGAGCAGCAACGTTCTTGCGTGGTTTTTGTTTTGTTAGCAGGTTCTCCGAGTGTATTGTACAGCATAGATCACTCTGGTATTGCTTGGGCTGCGCTGTCAAAACCATCGAGATACAACAATATATTCATCAGTACAACGATTGTTCTATCAGACAATCTGCACAGAGGTGCACCTTCTGGAATTTTAAATAATTTCATGTACAATTTGTTGTCAGAAAAGCAAATGAACTTTTCCCTTGGACAGCTGACTTCCAGAATTAGTTACATGGGTCTGCCCCAAGGCTAATGTTTCAGCCCTCTTATTTATAACTTTTATGTCAAAGATATCAACAACTGTTTGGCAGAACAATGCACGCTTATACAACTTACAGATGACGGTGTGGTTTCCGTAAGAAGTCCACATGCCGTGGACTTGCAAGGACCACTGCAAAGTTCCTTAGATAACTTGTATTCATGGGCTAGGAATCTAGGAAACAAATTCTCGCCGCAGAAAACTGAACTCTTAGTGTTTACTCGAAAGCCGTACCCAGACCAAATGCAGCTTAATCTTTTTGGCAGAAACATTACTCAATCATTGTCTTTCACGTACCTTGGGATCTGGTTTGATTCAAAGGATCAACTTTCTCCGTTCAATTTGCGGCACATGGCGGGGTGCTGATCCGGGAGACCTTATAACGCTTTATAAAACAACAATTCTCTCTGTTCTAGAGTACGGCACTTTCTGCTTTCTCTCGGCAAGAAAATGTCACCTAATAAAATTGGAACGAATTCAATATTGTTGTCTGCGTATTGCTCTCGGCTGTATGCACTCAACGCATAACATGAGTCTCGATGTTCTGGCAGGAGTAACACCTCTCCAGAACCGTTTCTGGGAGCTCTCTCTCAGGATACTAATCAAATGTGGAGTAACAAACACACTTATAATTGCAAATTTGAAGAAATTCTTGGGCTGAACACACAATCTCGATTTATGAGAATCTACCTTCACTACATATCTTCGGATATGTGTCTTCCTTGGTATACTACAGACCATGCTCACTTCACCTTTAGCAGTTCCTCAATTTAGTATGATCTGTCCATGAAACAAGTGATTCCTGAGATTCCAGATCAACTTCGAACTATTATTATCCCACGTATTTTGACTGAAAAGTAACAACACGTCAATAGCGTGAAAAGATATTTTACAGACGGGTCACGTCTCAATGGATCCACTGGCTTCGGTGTCTTCAATGAAAACTCTAGCGCCTTCCGCATACATCAGGAACCTTGTTCCGTTCATGTTGCTGAGCTGGCAGCAATCAACTTCGCATTGGGGATGATTTCCAACATGCCCGCAGACCATTACTTCATCTTCTCAGTTCGATTGAGGCTATTCGGTCGATGAAACAAGGTAGGCACTCATCTTAATTCCTTTCAAAGGTAAGAGAGCAGATGAGTGGGCTGGTCGAAAGATCATATGTGATTACTTATCAGTCATGTTTTTACCATAACTGTCGTGTATAGGGATACGACCTTACGGTCGATTTCACTAACACTACTATATTAGTTATCGTGTAGGATACTTAAATATGAGAAATAAAGATTCATTTCGTTCTTGCCTCTTGAACACAGTGGTTTGATTATTCGATTGATCGGACATTACAATAACATATATTGTGCAACAGCTACTTCGTAAGGACAGTGGTAGAGACATGGATTACTGCCAAATTTCGAGATAAAATTCAATACAATTATAATATAGGGGAAATGGATGTAATTTCGGCCTAAATGCCCCTAATTTGGGCCTATACATAAATTCAGCAATCGAATAAATTTTCAATAGCGACCAAAAATATCCATTAGTACCGTCGCAATGACGCGTTCATCTAGATAAAATTTGTAAATGGCAGATTATTAGCGATGGTCCCAATCTTAGATCCATAGGTCAACATTAGAGCCTTTTCTCCTACAGCGATCTGCTATTCTCAGGGCTAGTAGAGATCACTGCTGTCAAAAATAGTGATTTTAGTGACCATGTTATAGAAATAAGTGACCAAATAGTGACTTATAGTTGTAAAAATAGTGACTATAAAGTGACCTAAGAGAAAATAAATTCTTGATGTTTCAGACTTATTCAATAAGTATCTCATTAACACTTATGTACGATTTGAACCTTTAAAGCAAAAGATGCAATAGAAAGATTATGGCCAAGCCCACGGTATTAGTCAGAGTGTCTAACTGCTAAAACCTGAAAAACCAGGAATCCTCAGGAAATTTTAGTTTTTCCTTAAACTACCTAGGAGGCTCAGAGTATTTAATAATTTTCTTACTAAGGATATTTAAAAGAAAAGAATGAATTTTAAAATTCAAGCATTTAAATTTTCTCGTTATTTGCATTCACACTTTGAACTTTATAGACAGTGGACTAATCTTCAGTGACAAATTAATTAAAAAAACAGAGGCTTGAAATGTGTTTCTTTCTTTTTTTTTTGGAACATGCCTATTTCCTAGAAATTTTAAATTTGAACTAGTTCTGCATTTAAACATTTAAAAAAAATCCAAAATCTGGACTCAAAATCCATGCACAGTTTTAAAAGCCCGTGGAATTTTACTATAATTTCTAAGGACCTCATTTCAAGGAAACCCTGGGAATTTTTTTTTCCAGAAAAAACATCACATTCAATCAGCTTTTAAGGTAGTTCTAAGGAATTTTAGATTAGATAGTTTTGAGTAGACTTTCAAGAAACCATGATGTTTAATGAAAACTCTGAAAATTTCTGAGGAGCACAACTCCATCAAAGAAAAATTTCAAGGGCCTTCTGAGGATAATTTTGTGTTTGTGGGAGAAAACGAATCTGGAGCATAAGTACTTGGAATCTCCTTGAAAATACTAAAAGGAGGATTACAATCACATCTGAGAATAACTCCAGAACATCTTCAAAGGAATTCGGAAAATACATTCAGAAGGATTCGCCAATCAAATAATGAGAAGAAATCTAAGGAATTTGTGAGGAGAAATGCCAATGAATTCTTAGGAGACTTACAATGTGAGCAGAATTCCAAGGGAAGTTTTGAAGTTCTTTTGTAGTTTGAGAAACTAGCCGGATGTTCGCAACGCCTCTGGAAATTTCTTGAACTTTTGTGCTCCCGCAATGTTAATGGAATTAGAACGAAATAATTAATACAATTCTATGATTTTCACTGAGGTTCTTAAGATTTTTTTGAAGTTCATGAAACTTCCCTTAAATAATCGACACTAATTTATACCTACTTCAATAGTCTAGACTTTCTTGTCTAAACGATTATTCTCTAGACTGCCCTGAATTTTCAGTATTTTTTTAAGAATCCGCAACTTTACTGAAATTAAATAATCTGCCCTGAAGTTTCGAAAATTTCCCTTAAGTATTATAACCATTATAAACAATCACTAATTTTCTCTGAACTTATATATAGTTACCTGAAGTTCTCTAAATTTGTTTAATAATCCGAAAAATTTTCATTTCATACTTCCCTGACGCTTCTGACGTTTTCGGATCAATCACAGAATTCATGGAATACCCCATCGTTCCACGGAACTTCTTGTAAGCCTCTGCAAATTTGCTTAAGTTAATGGGATTATTCTGAAGTTATCTAATTGTCCTTGAAGTACTCGGAACTTCGTTGAATATCATGAAACTATCTAAAAGTATCTAAATATATTAGAAGTTCTCTGGAATTTCTTGAAGGTATCACTGGTTGCTAAAAGTTCTCATTTTTTTTTTAATAATAAAAATTCGTTGATTTTCTCTAATCAATTTTGCTAAATCTTCGCGTTTTTTAAGTTCTTGAAATCTTCATGATATAACACGCTTAAAATACTCTCACGTTTTCCGGATGTTCATATAATTTTTATCACGTTCCAGAAATTCTCTGCCCTTTTGATTCTCTAATCTGTCTTTATGTTCTCGAAGCTTCCCACAAGCTCTCAATTCTATTGAAGATATCGGTTCTGGTGCTCGGAAATAAATGGAATTCCCGTAAACACCTTTAAATTTCCCTGAAATTCCCTGGACTTCTGTGAAGTTTCTGAAATATTTCTGATGTTTTCATAAATTCTCTGAAGGACCCTGTACTTCCCTGAAATTCTCGGAACATCTTATGGGTTCTCGATTTTTTTTTTTCCAGCACATCATGGAACTATCCTGAATTTTTCTAAATTTTCCGATTATAGATCTTTAAACTGCTTCAAAAGTCTTGACTAAAGCTACGGAAACTGCTCTTAAGATCTGAAATTCCCCAAAAATCTCTAGATCTAGCTTTTCTGAGGTACTTAGAAATTCTTAAAAATTTGCACAATATCCCTCATGTTTTCTACATTCTGAAATTCTAGGAACTCCATAAAAGTTCCCGAAAATTTTCAGATGCTAAAAGAACCGCTTTGAGGTTCTTAAAGCTTCCAGTAAGTTTCCCGTATTTTCAGCCTGGACTTACTCAAATTAAGTAAGTCTTAAATTTCAACAATCAATGGATTTGATTGTAAAGCTGCTTCTTTAAAACTGATTGCCATGTCTTAAAAATGTTTGGGTAAATTGCTGTTCTTTTTGATCCACCAAAAAATAACATATTTTTAACGCATTTGAAAAAAATAGCTTTTTATTATAAATCTGGAATTTATCCATTAAAGTACTGGAAAAACCTGGAAAACTCAGGTAATTTTATTTAGAAAAATGAGTAGACACCCTGTAGATAGAGAAAGACGATTTAATGCCACAAAGCACAGAATGATCAATCTTGAAATAAATTCACGCTTACAAGTTGAAAATAGTGACTGATTACAAGAAAGTGACTTTAGTGACTTGGCCTTAAAAAAGACCAGCCCTGTATTCTATGTAGATCCATCTAAAAAAATCCGAAACGTTTAAAGCAAGCATCAGAAATAGCTATTTGAAATCCAAAAATACCGGACGCAGCATGTATGGGAACGGGACCTATCATGTCCATTCTGTTTCCATAAACTTCATTGAACTTCCCTAATAAAAAATTACCATACACGAACGATAACCCAAATGATTAAACTATTCCACAAATGGTTTGGATGATACCACGAACACGTTAAGCAAATTAACCATAACATTTTTATTAGGGTTAGAATAGGTACAACGTAAACATTCTATAAAATATGCTATAATATAGGATATCACTATTCAACTTGCTGCACCAATTTTCGATCAGTGTATGTTTAATACAATGCATCATTCAGAATTTCTGTCGCACGACGCAGCAACAAAATGTTGCACACCACCAATGCGATTGCCTACATTCTGGCGCTGGCACGAAAAGAAATTTCCTGATAAACAAAATCTCACCTGTAATGATCGCATACTGCGGATGAAGCAAATCGGCCACATCGGCCACACTGAGCGGTTCCTCCGCCGAGCTGACACTGGAATTCATCTGTTGATCATTGCTACCAATGGGACCACCATTTCGGTGCTGCTGCTGCTGCTGCTGTTGTTGTTGCAGAGGATGCCCATTCGCCACGCTGGGTGCCACCACGTGGCCCGTCGTCGTTATCAGCGAGTTGCAACTGCCGAACGCGTTCATATTGAGATGATTCCCATTCTGGCACACGTTTTCGATCAGCTTGTTGACGTTGGTAGAGTTTTGCAGATTTTGGCTCAGCACCGTTTGCACCGAACTGACCGATGTGACCGACGACTGGTGCTGGAACAGATGATGGTGATTGTTATGGGCGTGCACCGAGTGATAGGATGATGCCACGCTGTTGGCTCCTCCGCTGTTGTTGGCCAGATTTTGAGATTCTGCAATGGGAATGGGTGGTGGAAAGAGATTTTGATTTTTAATTAGAAAAGAAAGCAATTTCCTAGTTTCAGTAGGGTTTAGTTGTGGGTAAACAAACTTCGAGGGGGGGGGGGAGGGGCAGTACCCAAGCGATTGTCGGAGAAAACCGGCTTTTAGTAGTGTATATTATTTTTCAATCTACAGCTTCCATGAGGGAGGAGTGCGTGCAACGAAATGATGCTTGGCTTGCGACGGGTGGAATAAATTAGATTCTGGAAACGTGCAGTGCTCGATGCAATCCCCTTCCCAAAGAACCAAGAAGTAACACCGCCATGCATGAAGCAGGTGGGTCGAAGCATATATGTATACAAACGCCTTTCTTCCTCATGCACAACACACATTATTGCGCGCGCCCGTGTAATAAAAGTGAGATAATTGGCTTACTTCCCTACTGACTGAGCGAGGAGCATGGCTGGAATTGGTTTGTTGTGGTGCGGTGGTCGGCAATTATCAGCGCATCACACGCGGTTGGATAATGTGAATATAATGCACATATACACGATTCTGCTGAGCTATGGACATGCCAGAAGCAAATAGATCATCAATCTCCTCAGGACGGGCCGAATCATCTTTTATCTGACAGAAGACTACCACCTGCTGCTGCATTACTATTATGCATATATCAATCCGATGCGCATTTCTTCTCTTCATTTCTCAATCGAACCCGTCGCGGATCGTATCTTCCAACAACACAGAGTTTCTACAGGGAGGAAATTAAAACGCGTTGTATAGGCAAACGAAGCGGATAATTAAATGGCTACTGGACTTACTGGGCGATTGAGCTGAAGGCCATGTAGCAATCGGAGAGAATGGATACTCAAATTGATTGGTGGCTAATGGCTTAAGTAGGTATGATAATGAAGGAAATTTTTCATTTAACTTTAAAAACAAAAACAAAATTGCCGTACGATTATCCAGCCTTAACTTTGTAAGTGAACGCAATCTAATACTTTTCAACCACGAATTATTATATTATAGTTATGTGAAGGTTGATACGAAACAAACAATTCACAATGGTTTCAAAGCTCTTTGATAAGAAGAAAATAAAAATTCAATCGATCCGAATGCGAAGGAGCCTGAGATTTCTCAGAAAGCAAAAGCAGTCACCACTAAGGCACCGAGCCCCATACATCAAGGCAAAGTAGCGAGTGTAAAGGTCAGGGATGCCAGATTTGAAACATGTCCTCATTTTGAAGACATTTGAAATTCTTTGAAGATATTTCTCGTTATTCTGCACTGCGAGTGAGGTGACAAAACTCATCGCTAGTGAGGTGACACTCCGCGCAAATCAACTGGGGAGTCTCCTCAATCGCGGTGACTATTGTCACCTCACTAGTGACAGCGAGTAACCTCACCTTAAGTCGACGTTTTTACTGTTGAAGACGATGTAGAGACTGGATCGATTCTTGTGAAAACGGAATTTTCTGTTCATCGTAGATTCAACGGATTGTAGCTCATGATACATAAAGCGGAAAGGATCAGGTGTGGATATAAGACTATTATATTTAGACTCAACTAAATGAGCATGGAGAACGGACCATTTTGGAAAAGCTTTGGAAGCCAACACAATTTAATCGTCTATTTGTATGTCCAAAATTTCTGTCATTCTTTTGAACATCTTCTGCTTAAGTTTCTCCTGGTACTCATCATACCTCTTCATGCGGCGCAGCACATGCGGAATCAACTCCTTTCGTTGGAAGAAATTCGTCTCCGGTCCATCGCGTTCTTCCACCTTGCTCACAAAGTCGTAGACCGGCTCGTACCCAATCGACCGAAGGAAATGGTCAAATTGAACCGAGCTGTAATTCTGATAGATCGAATTCACCTGCATACCTCTGCGCTCCGCCTCGGTCATGATAGCATGCTCTCCAAATCCAAGCCTGAAAATCCGATCGAACTTGGTCTCCGTCGATGGAACTACCACTTCCGGTGCAGGTTTCTTCTTGAGTCTTGACCTTGGCAGCTTGCCGGTTCGTGGAGGCCGCACGTACGGAGGAGCCAAACAACGCTTCAACTGGATGGCCATCTGTCTCTGACGATGATCTTCCTTCGCAGCTCGCCGGGCTTCGTTCATCATATGCTTGTGCTCAAATCGTACCTGTCTGTCCGCAGATTTGATGAATTTCGGAGGGATTTTGTCCAACTCCGTCAAGAGCTGCGTGATAAGGTTGAAAACATAGCTGAAGCTTTCGGTTCCGGAAAATTTCAAAGCGCTGTCCTGTTGATCCCGTGGCAACAGATTCTTGTAGAGAACGTACAGAAGGGTGTCGAGGTTCCTCGTCCTTTCATTAGCAACGCACTCCCAAAGAGGATCCTTCGCCAATCTGTTCAGAACATCTTTCAGCTGAGCCGTACGATTCTCGCATCTTACCTTTCTATCCGTTAAATCATGAATTGCAAACTGCAAATTTTCAATCATTCGATCGTAATGCTTCTTAACGTCTTCCGCTTCCTTTTTGGCTTCCGTCTCGGCCCAATTGAGTACGTTCAGCCGACTCAATAATGTCATCAAATTAACATCCAGTGCATCTATTCCCCGTAGCAGACTCGAACTATCCTCAAAAACCGCATAAATGGGTTTGTCCTTTTCCAGATACTCTTTCTCGAAAAATTCCTTCACCGCCCATATGTCATTGTTCTCGTGCGGAGACCTTAAATTCACAATACTCCTGTTTGCAATCGACTCCGGATATCCTTCCAATTCTCCTTGCTCATCCCTATGGATCCAATCGTATTCCTTTCGCCATGGGTTTGGCATAATCAAATACAAAAAGTTCTGACACTTGATCCGTTCAGCCCATGTACGCTCCATCTTGATCACCCCGTTCCAAAGGGCGTCCATTTCCGGTTGCCGGTCACGAAATTCTTTCTCCAACCGTGCCGTCTCGTCGAGGCAAGGTTTAAGACTGTCTACCTCCCGCTGCGATTGGCTGAACCGCTGCCACATGACTTTCCGTAGGGCTTCGCTTATCTCCTCCAAACTTTCGTCGAACTTCTTGTGTTGTAGCCTCTCCGCTTTCAAAAACTTGCTTTGCTCGTACAGATACTCCTTCCGATAGAACGTTTCGAATTGCTTGCGGGAGGCTTCCCGCAGCTTGTGCATAGAATCACTTCGCACGAAATTGCGAATCCTTGGTCTGTGTGAAATCTCATTCCGATAGTGCAAATCCACCTGCGTAGCCAACTTGGAAGGATACTTTTTTTCTATACCCAAAATCTCCTCCTCGAACGGGACATCCTCAACCAGCAATCTGCCTCTCATACCCTGCCTTGCTCTGGACTTGTGGGTATGGAAACGATCTTCTACTTGCATCAGGGCCGCCATCTGCTCAGGAGTACCAACCTGGAAGGGAGTTTCAATTTTGACTTTGGGCTTAGCCACCGCAACGGGTAAGGCAGTAGCTTCCGATTCCGAGTCCGATGCGCTTCTTGCCAGAGCATTCCGGAACCAATCGAAGGAGATTTTTTTACCCTCCATTATCAGATAACTGCCGCTGTCATCACTCAAGCTGACGAAAGACGACAGCGATTGGTCTTGCGGGTCCACTTCAGCGGACTTCGACCAGTCATGTTTGAGGTTCCCGAAAAAACGCTGCTCCAGAATGGTGAGGAATTTGGACTTCAGAAGCTCGAATTTCTCGGCAATGGATTCCTTGCTTGGGATGCCGCCTTCGGTCGCCGATAGGTCTTCTTCGGCGGAGAACATGTTGATGAATGGGCTGTCAATTTGCTTGTCGGATACAAGGCTTTGCCTTCTAGATCGTCGTTTTCCGTACATTCCTCCACACCAGAGTTGTTAATAGAATAGTTAAGGCCCAAACGCAATGTTGGCGGAAGCGGAACGGAAGCGGAATGGAAACGGAAAGTTTGACAGTTGTCACAAATAACACGAAGAAGCCTAACCGATGTCGATTTGGTTCTAACTAGTTTTCAATCCGACAAGTAGGCTTATACCTTGTACAGACATACAAAGTTCACTGTTGTACTACCGTTGTACCAACAATCAATACGAAACTAACGATTTTAAATTGGCTCACTACTTGACTAGCCTATTGGTCCCAAGCAAACGATTAACGTACCCTATTCTAGTTGAAATTCTATTACTACACTATGTTTGTTTTGATTCGCTATGAAAGTTTGACAGATAACATCAGGGGTGTGTGGATTCATGCAGAACATGCAGGGGTGAGTGAAATAGCTTGGGACTGCTTGGGACCGTTGTTCTGGTACTGAGTGAGCCAAAAATAATAATGATTTTCTTCGGGACCCAGTGGTCTTAGAGTTACCTCTATGGTACAACCATAGAGGTAACTCTAAGACTAGTAGGTCCCGAAGAAACGTGCTCAACTTTTTGGCTCAGCTATGGTACTCTCTTCGGTCCCAAGCTAATCGATTCACCCCTCGAAACATAGGAAAAACCACTAATCCCTCATTTTATCTGTCAAACTTTCATAGCGAATCAAAACAAACATTGTGTAGTACTAAAATTTCGACTAGAATGGGGTACGTTAATCGATTTGCTTGGGACCAATAGGCTAGTCAAGGAGTGAGCCAATTTAAAATCGTTAGTTTCGTATTGATTGTTGGTATTACTCAGATCGGGCTTTTCCACTGCCGCTGCCGTTCCGCTTCCGCTGTCATTGCCCTTGGGCCTTTACGCAGAGTGAAGCTTGCAACACTGATGTCGATCAATGGGCATTTATTTTTGGCAACCTTTGTTTTTGTTTACACCTCAGATGATTTCACCTGGGTTGTGAAAGTTTCCTCTAGTTTCGATAACAATACATCCCACACAACAGAGTCACTTTGTCTACTGTGCTCGAAAGGTAGCCGGTTTGACAGTTCGATAGGTAGATTTTGGTTTCAGTCTGCGTAACTCTTCTATTATCAACTCTGCTCCACACTACTGTATGAAAAGTACATCAAGACACACGGCAACGGATAAATCACTCAGCACATTGTGCCGAAATTAGATTCGGCCAACTGTCATTGAAGTTATGCACAACATTACGTCCTGTTTGACTGTATTTTCAAGAACATCCTCTAATTGAATATACCCAGAGGAACTCAGACCAGCAGTTCACTTCTCGGTTCACTTATAGATTTAAATACGAAATGTAGGTTCTAGCGTGAGCTCGAGAGAAAGAGGCAGTTAGTACCCTTAATTCAAATAATGCTGCAACTCACACAAAACAAACTACAGAAGTTATATTCATCATCCTCTATAGTCGATCTCCAACAATGTTCCCCACCGGTTCCAACTCTTTCCAGCCGTTGATAGACCGTTGCTTTTCACATCACGAAAGGCTAGGTTTCTGGTCTGCTTTTGATGGCATTATAAAACCCTAAAACACAGGACTATTATTATCCTATGAACACAAAACACCAAAATTTTGCACACCCGCCACTTCCGCGTCATCCTCTATCCGATTTATCCTTGCGATTTCAAACCAAAACATTCAAGGTGTCAGAAAGACCGGGTTGCCGAGATGGGTATTTTACAAACAATCGCAGCTTGCTCTATATGACCGGCACAATCGGCACACTGACAAAGAAAGATGACCCAAGATTGGTGTGCGGAGTCACTCAGCACAGTGTACCGAAAGCAGATTCGGCACAGCTTGGGCACATCCACCGGCACACCTTCGGCTTAATCGCGTAGGCATTGGATTGTTCATTAAATAAAATAGGAGCACTGATGGACAGCTGTCATTGAAGTTGTTCACAACATTACGTGCTGTTTGACTGTGTATTTCAGAAACATACGTCTACCGTCTAATGGTGATAACCTCGGAGTCCACCTTGGAGCACATGATGTACGCGATTGGGACGCTGATGTCCACCGTGTCGAAGCTCTTGTCCTTGATGAAGGCTCGCCACGATTCACAGAATTCACCCGGGAAGTTTTCCTTGGAGAAGACGCCCAACGTTTTGCCATCCTTAGATCCCTTAATAGCCTCCAGCAGCTTTTTCAAAATTGGCCTTGTCTTTGTCGTTTTATCCCGTACCAACAGCTTCACCGACTGAATGCCCTCCTCACCGTCCGTCTCGATCTGCTTCAGGAAGTCAATCTTCTTCTTGCTGGTCAGGAAAAAGATTTACTTTTCGCACAGCACCGTAATCGTATCGGTCAGCTCGTATCCCAGTAGCCAGGTCTGCAGCGAGGTTGATTTGCTGTAGATGGTTTCCTCGTCTAGGCCGACCGCCGTCTGAATGCAATCCACCTTCTGCAGTGAATCATCATGGGAAAACTCCTGGTTCCTTCCAGTTGGCGTAGAGGCGTTTTATTCGTCGGTAGAAGGTGTCCTTATCGAGCACGATATTCGACATTTTCGGGGCCACTGCGATTGCAAACCTAAACATTCAAGCTGAGCTGCCAAACATGCCATAATATTCGTATATTCGTATATAAATCGCAGCTTGCTCTATGCCCGGCACTGCCGGTACACTGGCGGCACACCAGCGGCACACTTACGGACACTAAGAAAAATGTTGACCCAAGATTGGTGTGCGGAGTGACCTACCCCTTGGATTTATGACATTTAACATTGGGCCGTATGAATAAAAAGAGTTTACTTTACTTTCCCGTGCTTTTCTTACGGGAAAAGTAAAGTAAACGCTTTTATTCATATGACCTATTACAGCACTATGTAAATGAAACAACTGGTTAATGTTATCTACACTTTACTCCAGGAGTTCAAGAGTCATAATGTTCTGTATATTCAAGATATTAACATCCATAAACATTTTTCAATTTTAAATTTTTACCACAAAATAGGTCTTGTTCATCTGAACAACTTTGCTGAATACGGAAACCTTCTATCTAATCCATCTGAGGGCAAACAATTCAATATTAATGTTACACGAGCGCTGCCTGTTGAGTGGGTTCTGAGCTGAACTCTTTACATAAGGATAGGTCTTGTCCATCTGAGCAACTTCGCTGAAGATGGAAACATTCTATCTAGTCCATGATAAAATATGTTCATACTAGCACACCTTGGTGAAATGATTCTGAGCTGAACTGTTTACCATAAAATAGATCTTGTCCATGGACTATGGCTTCGAAAAACAAAGTTTAAAACGCCAAAACGGTTCTAAATATACCAAACCCATCCAAATTCATTGACAGCTAATGGCCATAAAATTGCACAAAGGACTTTAAAATGCAAAACAGAACGGTGGAAAACGGTCGTAGAAACGCAAAATTAGCCTTAAGGTCCAAGCTCAATGACAGCGGAAGCGGAAAAGTCCGATCTACGATGTAGGAAAATTTTTGTTTTGCTTTGGTTAGCTGCACGCACGCTGAGTAGATATAAAGAAGATTGATGACGATTCAGAAGATATCCTGCAAAAAGATGATGCGCGATGCAAGTAGATGCGAGAAATGAAAGAAATCTTTTCGAAGATCGATTCGCTAGTGTGAGATTTGTTGAGCATCTAGAATTGAGATTTAGATGTGTGCCCCCCTCGGAAAAGCCCAATCTGAGTAATCCCGCTTGTCGGATTGAAAACTAGCACAGAAAACAGACGTTGAGGCTCGAACTAAATTTCTGTAAAAACTTGTGTAAAGATTCCTATTCGACTTAAGCGGTGACCTCCCCACTTAAAACCCTCTTTGACAACCTGATGGCGCTGACGTTGCACAACTTACACTAGACACTAAGTTCTGGTAGCGCCAAGTGGTCCTCTACCCTCGGCTGATGATCAACGTCCGCGTTGACCTTTGTCATGCTGACACCTGTCAGTTATTGAGCCTTGGGTGTAAAGTTGGCGGGGAACTCCCAACAGTTTCAATGTACACTCAACATATAGCACTGCAATCACATAAGAGTGGTAACTATATGCCTTGTATGAGGAATTAATTAGTGGGATATCTTGTTAATTAGATATCTTTGATTAAATCGACTTCGGTTAGGCATCTTGATGTCATTTGTGACAACTGTCAAACTTTCCGTTTCTGTTCCACTTCCGCCCACATTGCGTTTGATGTCACTGAAGTTATCCAGTACCATACCATCCAGCATGTACTAATTTGTAGTACAGGAAGCCATCCAGTACCATACCATCCAGAATGCATCATAAATCAACTATTGCATACTTCACGGCGTAAATGGAGCAATTGTGCTAAATTAAATTTAAAATCAAAATTTACAACCATTAATGATAATACATATAATTTAACCATGTATGGTGGGAAAACCAGTGACAAACCATTCCAGTTCTTCGCCTAGAATATTCTAGAATATTTAAACAAGACATTTAAACATTAAGACATCATGGCTAATTGTTTTGAAATTGTTTGATTGATTTTTTTACTTCAAAGACGAGTTCTTCAAAGAAATTTTCATATTATTTTACACATACTTGCTGGATGGGAATACTAAGTCAAATATAATTAAAGTGATTTATTCAGAGTATTCAGTAATATCTTAAGAATACATTTGCATACTTAAACATCATGGCTAATTGTTTTGAAATTGTTTGATTGATTTTTTTACTTCAAAGAGGAGTTCTTCAAAGAAATTTGCAATATGAATACTCTGAATAAATCGCTTTAATTATATTTGACTCAGTATTCCCATCCAGCAAGTATTTGTAGAAAAATTTTCGAATTTCTTTGAAGAACTCCTCTTTGAAGTAAAAATAAATCAATCAGACAATTTCAAAACAATTAGCCATGATGTTTGAGTATACAAATGTCTTCTT